CTATTCCTCATGTCTGAGACAGGAAGGAAAATGACTAAGTGGATTTTTAGTTCAACTAGAATAGTTGTGCACATCCTTTTGTACCCAGACATTGAACATTCTGCAGTCTGAAATTAGAATTTAATGTTTACCATAGACTTTGAAAGTTTTTACCCTCCTGAGCTCCAGAAGCTCAGGAGGGTAATGTTAGCATTACTGAAGATGTAAGGTGATGAATTTTATTAAATTGATGACTGATATTACTATCAAAACTTTAAATTAAACAGTAAGATTGAATGGACTATTTCTTAGGAAAACAGATACCAATGTGCCCTCCAGTCTATATGTGGAATGACTTTAGAAATAATTCAAGAAACCTTTGGATCCAGAAATGAAACAGTTTTACCTTACGTATATGTAATCTTTGTATATCCTTAAAATCTGTCTTCCTAGACTTAATATAAACCCTGCTTAGTCCTCTATTTCAACCTTAGTCATCAGTACATTATTAGCTCAGGCCCAGCCTGGTCATTGGAACCTTTACTAATTTGACTCCTGTTCTGCTTATGGGCCTTTTCGTTTTATTCTCCTTGATAGCAAATATTTTTTGCTCTCCTTTTCCTCTTACAGATTGTTTCTTCACCTTTGATAGGTTGAGTATCTCTTATCAAAAATGCTTGGAACAGATTGTTTCACAGCTTGGAATTTTTTTTTTATTCTTGAGTATTTGCTATACATAATAAAATACCTTGAAGATAGGCTCAAGTCTGAACATACAATTCACTTATGTTCCATATTTATCTTATACACATAGCCTGAAAGTAATTTTATGTAATATTTTAAGTACATTTGTGCTTTGACTTTGGCCTATCACCTGAGCTCAGATGTGGAATTTCTACTTGTGATATCATGTCAGTACTCGAAAAGTTTCAGATTTGGGGACAGTAAGGATTTTGAATCTTCAGATAAAAAATGTTCTATTTTACAGGGTTCTCATTTTGGTGTTCAGGACTTGACTCACACTGTTTCCTTTTCTAAGCTTTAGCATACCCAGTCCAATCATTGGAGACTTAATGGAAATCCCTTTCATCTCCTCAAATTACTACTCCTGTAAATTTAGGTATGCTTGAAAGTCTACAGTCTATAAAGAAGAACTTTTCCTCACCACTTGTAAATGAATAATAATTCATTTATAAATATTAATGGAGTATCTAATCTATTGGCAAAATGTGCCTAGACCTGTGTTTTCACTAATGGAGGTGTCAGATTTATTGCTTGCTTTTGAATGGTATACAGTTTTGTTCAAAAGTAGGAAGGCACATTACTGTATACTGTGTTATACAGTAGGAAGGAACAAATATCTCCAGCTTCTAAACTATCTTTGGTGAAATTTCATCTCCAGTGGGAAATATTTTTGGTAATTCAGGGAGAAAAATAATCTCTATTCTCTAAATGCACACTTTCCTGCTCTGGCTGTTTTGTCACAGGTTGATGGGATTAGTGACAAATATAGAAAAAAGTGTCATGACCTGAGCCTTGGGAGTGGAGTCCTGAGTTATTATCTCAATAGATCCTAAGTAGGAATTTTCTATATATTTTTTGTTTTTTCCCTTTTCCTTTATTGTTCTGCTGGATGGGGATACATTATGACATTTACAAAGGTTCTTCTAATGTATCAAATATATCATACTTGAATTCATCCCCTCCACTGATCTCCTTTATTCTCCCCCCAACCCCACACTGACCAGGTCCTGGAATAGTTTCAACAGGTATCATTTTGTATTTATATACATGTGTATACATTTTTTGCACCATGTTCACCCTCCCACTGGTGCCAACCCCCTCCCTGGACAGGACCTGTTCTGCTCTCTTGTTCTCTAATTTTGTAGAAAAAAAAAGAGAAAAGATAAAAAGAAAAGCATGACATTTTTGCTTGACTGAGATACAGGGAATTTCCCTGTGCTATTTCCATGTACATATGTATTATAACTCCAATTGGTTTATCTTCTCTAATTTTCTTCATTCTACCTTAGTCCCTTTCTTATGGTGGTTTCAGCTGGCTTAAGATTTTTTAAGAGATATACGCTCTTAAGAGTATATCAACCATTTTTAAGTTCTTAGTTTCCTTCTTTTACCCTACTCCTCTAATGCATGACCTCCCTTTAGTGTGACCAGTGTCCCATAATATTGCTGCATTTGTTTTAGGTCTATATTCCACATATCAGAGAGAACATGCAGCTTTTGGCCTTCTGAGCCTAGTTAACTTTACTTAAAATGATATTCTCCAGTTCCATTTATCTGCAAATGACAGACTGTCATTCTTCTTTGTGGCTGGGTAAAAAGGAATCTTCTATTTGTACCTTATTGCTTTGAGCATAGTGTCATGACTGATGATGAATTCTTCTATACTTAAAATGCAAATCTCTTCGTATGTTTTGGGTAACATAAAATACTTTCCCTCTGGCTAAGCATTACTCATTTTACCCCTTGCAGTAAGAAGTGCTCATCATGATGCTTGGATACATGACTAAACTGCATGATAAATATCATCAGGATACTATGTTTTCTCAATTACAACAAAAGCAGGGGTGACACAGATGCAGCTGGAAACTTCCTTCTTCTCGGAATTAAGTAAGGTGCCCCATTTCCCTATATTTTTGAAAAACAATCTCTCTCTCTTTCTCACCTTGTATTTTGTGGAGTTTACAACCTTATGTTTATTTCTGACTCTGAGCTCTTACTTATGCTACATTGTTGCATTTTAGAAATTATCTCCTTATTTCATATATTACACTAGGCTGGGACAGATAGTGTGCTGTCTTATTAATTTCCTCAAGGAAAATACGTTTGAAGGTAGCAGACTTTATTAAAATGTTGAGAAAATGAAGGAATTTATATTTAGATTAAGACCCCTACATCCAAAAAGACAAAAAGTTATTGTTATATATCTCTAATGAGAGAAATGTATTATACATTCATGTGTGTAAACTCAGTTGCTTCCAGAATTCTATGTATTTAATAGCCATAGTTGATATAAAATATTTTGATCCATCACCTTTCAAAATGATATATTAATGTTTCATCACACTTTGATTATTACAGACTGACATTTGCTCAAGGTCTCTCACTGAGTAAATGTAAATCAGCTATCTTAACAAGGTTCTGTCTACTCCCCATAGCCCAAGCTTCTACTATGCCTGGTCAGTTATCTGTGTGATCTCATTTAATCCTTGCAGAAATCCAGTAAGGCTAGAACCATTATCACATTTTGCAAGTGAGAAGACTGAGTTAATCCGGATCATAGAGCTAGTGTCAGAGCCTAAATCAGACAGACTGCTTTTTGCCTTTTTTACAAGTATGCTGTAATAACTCCCACCTCAAAAAAAAAAAAAAGTCAGGCTAAACATACACTTTAGATGATTTGTTCTCATATGCTCCACTTAGAGCTGCAGTTAAAAGAAAAACAATTCACTAAAGGAAACCTATAGGATCCCATGGGCATGTGAGCAGTTCAGCTAAGCTTAGCTCCTGGTATAGAGTTAAAAGGCATTTGCCTCCCAGCATTAGCCTTCCTGTTGATTCATAAGATGCAAATGAAATGTTAATGTTAAAACCAAGTGGGAGAAACTACTTATTTTGATAGGAAAAAAATGTAATACTTCTCTGAAATATTGTTAAGGCAAAGAGAACCAGGAGGACAAGAAACGCAGGCTTTTGAAAAAAAAAAGTCACAGCTAAAGATGAAGCTTAATAGTCTCAAGACAGAAAAGATAAAGAATTCAAGGATTTGTGTGTGCGTGTGTATGCGCGCACTCTCGCGTGGGCACGGGCGTGTATGTGCATGTGTGTTGAGATTCGCCTGCCTGCACCACTCCTACCCTCCCCACCTAACTGGTGACTTGCAGCCTTTTCAATGAACGAACAGTGTATGATGTTTAGTAGTTAGCATTCTCCGTTGAAGATAGCCTAACACAGGGGTGACCCTGTGATGCACGAAAGGCTATTTAATGCCCTGGCAAAGTGGGACCACAATTTTATTATGCTTCGAGAATAAGAACTGTGATCCCGCATTTCTGATTTAGAGCCACTCGGGGCTCCAACAGCTCCACCCCAGTGTTCTAGAGGAAAATATTCCTTCCTGCTCTCTGCCTGATCTGAAAGGGACACTGCTTCTAGATGTTACCCCGGGGAGGTGGTTCAATCTTTAGAAATTGCCCAGGAGCCCTAACTATCTGCTGGGTGCCTGGCTTTCCGGAACCGGCCAGGGGGAGTTTACCTTTTAGTCTGAGTAAATTGAGGGTTTTCTGTTTTGTCACTTAAAATCGCCGCTTACAAAAATAAAAGTGACACACTGGGTTTTTTTTTTGTAGGCATTGAGAAAATCCGTATGAAGAAGTGTGGTGTAGAAATTCCGAATGTAATTTCCCCCGGAAAGAAAGAAAGAAGAGCATCTTGTATTTGACACTGGGCAGTCAGTCGACTCAAGAGGTCTGCCTTGAAAAGAAAGTGAGCGCGAGTCCGAGGTGGGGGTGGGGAGGAAACGGTGCAAAAAGTAACGGTGGGAGGGGTAATCAGTCCAGTCCTTGAGTTATCCTCGACAAACCAGTAGCTGTTCCTGTTAACTTTCAGGAGTTTCCATCCTTACCACCTCCTCCTGGCCTACCTTCCCCTTTCGCTCCAGTTCTTGGACCCTCGCAAGGTGCGATTCTCACCCCCACTGCCCTGATCCACTACTCTCTTTACACCAAGGCTGCAACCTTACAGTGGAGAAGAATCCGAGTGAGCAAATGAGATGGGCGTCTAGCTGCAAGAAGAGAGCAATCTGTCTGTCTGCACCGCGGCGAGGTGGGGTGGGCAGCGGGAAGCCAGGCGGTATCACCCCGGCGCTGGCAAAGGGAAATGTCAGTCCAGGGACCTACCGGGCCCAGAGCGGAGTCAGTGCCTGCTTCTTATTGGCTAGTGAGTCCTTGGAGGCGGAGTCCCGAAGAGGCCACGCCCACCAGGGGGGCCCTCGGGCTGGGGCACGTGGTTCTTTCACTCAGCTTGAGATTGGGAGCCGGGCTCAGTCTCCGAATCGGTCCTGCAGCGCCTCTAGGCTGCGGATCTGAGCTCCAACCACCTGCTTGGCTTTGCGTCCCCGGCAGTCGAGAGGAGGGAACTGGGAGAAAAGAGGCGGGAGGGAGGAGGAGAGAGGCAGCTCACACACGCCTTCCAGTCGCTCCACTCAGAGCAGCCCAGAGACCACTGCCGCCGCCACTGCTACTGCTGCTACCAAGATCACCACTGCTGCCACCTGAGGACACCCGCTGCCCCCTCGTTCCCCCCACCCGTCGCCGCCTCGGCGATTTCTTTCTAGCACCGAGCTTTTCGTGCACACTGCAAGTACCATAATTCTTATTCCAAGAGAAGAAAACTAAAAGAAGATAGCAGCCAAAAAGAACCACGTACACCTTCCCGTATCACTGAAGTGTCTCAGGAAAGAGAGTCGCTGGTCCAGGGAGGAGCAGCCGAAGGGACCGAGGCGGGTGTGGACTGGGAGGGCGGAGGAGTTGCGGGCATTGCGTGGTGGAAAGTTAAGTGTGGCAGAGACCCGAAGGTGCAGCGCCACATCCCAGGGGACAGTGTGTCTGGGAGAAGCCGCTGCCCCCGTGCGTCGGGACCCACGAGCGTGCGGGCACCGTGGGGCCCGGGACGAAGCCCCCCCTGCGGCGTGGACTCTGTCGCAAGCCCTCGAGAAGGAGGAGAAATATGGCATCCAAAGCGTCCCCTTCCTGCCGTCTGATTTTCTGCCTCTTGATCTCCGCCGCCGTCCTCAGGCCAGGTGAGCGAGGGCCTCGGAGCAGCTCCCGACTGGCGCGGGCCGGGTCAGTTTTCCTGGGTCCTGGGCTGCGCGCCCAGGCGCGTAGTGGGGGAGGTAAAGGAACGGCGTCTGAGTACAGACCCGGACCTGGGCACAGTCACCTGTGTCGCACATTTGGCCTCGGCTCTCTGGCTCAAGTTTGGGCAGCCAGCAGGAACATTGAGTAAATCTCCAGGAACTTTGGGGGAAGCCAGGGTTGGGGCTGCAAGAGCCCGCGGGCAAGAGTCGTCCCAATCTCTCTCTCTCCCCTTGTCTCCTCGGCTCCCGACTAGGTGGCGGGCTCTTGACCTCTGACAATCCTTCTGGTCTCTGGGTATCAAAGTCCACGTCACTGCGCCCCGGGCAGTTTTCCTTTCGTTTAGCTCTGGACTGAAATAACTATCCCACACTTTTTTCGTGATAAATCCCTTGGTAACTTCTTCTTGGCATGAGGTGAAGAAGAGATGGGAAAGGTAGTGGGAAAAGGAAGGACTTTGATCATCCCCTTTAAAAAACCGAATGCTTCGACCGTAGTTCCATTGTCTGGGTGGGCGGCGAGTGTAGGGTGACGCCAGGCAAATAACGCAGGAGAAATGGAATTAGCAGCTAGGTTGGGAGACCCTAGAGAGGGGTTTGTGGATTTTCAGAACCTGCCATAGAGCCTTGGTTCTCAGTTTTGTACTAAGCCTTAGAAGAAAAAAAAAAAGGCAAAATTCCCAACGGCTAAAATATTTCCCGGGGAATCCCTTTCCTCACCCTTGGGGACGTCCCCTGGCCCTGACAGCCTCAGGCCTGCCGGGCTACTGACACGAGGTAGTGCTACCCCGGCATTCTGCGCGCTCAGTCACTTGATTGAGCAGCAGGTTCATTTCCTCGCCAGACTTGAGGATTTTTTTCCTTTGAAGTTTTGATTTCCATCTCTTCATAGATAGTTGCCCGTCAAACTACTTCCTGATATTTTGGCGTCTGCATGTTTTTTCCCCCCTCTCTCTTTCGTTTTTAATCAAAGAAAAAAAAAACCCTTACTTTCTTTTCGCATCTTTTATTCCTGTACATCTCTTAAATTGACAAGCCGAAGCCACAGAAGAGGTTCTGGAGCTCTCCCAGGAGGGAGAGAGAGCTCTGAAGTGCTTGTGAGCTGCTAAGGATGGGCTGCTGTGTATGGGGGAGGGTAGGGGGATGGGGTCCCTTCTCCAGATCTCTTTATTAAAGTTACATTTCTGGGTGACTAATGAGCTCACCTGCTGTTTCTAAGGCTGAGAAAGGCAAACCTCAGGTTCTGGGGCGGGGACCATAAAACCAGGGTTGAAAGGAGTTTAAAGCAGGCAGGGCAGGGTGAAGACACTGGGGAGGAGGAGTTGGGGAAAACCCTGTGGGGTATGGCTCCCTGTGGATTTCACTTTTTCATTATCCCTGAGTCTGATGGGGGAAGAAGGACGCTATGGATCCGGGGGGAGATTCAAGAAGGGAGAACAAGAGTGATAATAGCTTATGAAATGTAAAGAGCCACACGCCCACAGTTGGTGTTCTGTTTAACCCTCTCGTGACTTTGAAGGTGTAATACCACTTACGTCCTCACCCCCAGATCACACGCCCGGTTTCGCTTCTCGTGCGGTCGCGCTGGAATTTATTTTCAGTTGGTCACGTCGGAGAACAGGTTTTCCCTCACATTTAACTGCCCAAAGGGGAGAGGTTCCGCTTTTTAGACCTTGTTCTTGTGGCGCTGCGGGCTCTCCTGTCCAGGGTCGCGTGTCCAAGACCGCCCGAGCTGCGCGCTTTCGGCGAGCGGGAAACGCTTTCGTCCAGCCACCAACCACTTCTGATCTGGGGGTCGGATGCCACAAACCCTCAGATTCTGGGTTTCCCCCTGAATTACCAGGCTGGCACTGCGCAGACTTCCTGGCTCAGTGGCGGTGTGCTTTAGAAGGAACGATTATGGCACTGAAGGCGCTGTGTCTCCACTCGTGGCTCGAGTCCTGGGCGGCAAGTGCGGCGCCTTTGGAGCCTTCTGCATAGCGGAGCCGGATAGGGGTGCGGTACCAATGGCTGGCTTTATCCATGGGGCTCACTTCCCTGACTGCCTCCCTTCATTTCCGGAGCAGTTTTAATAGTGTGTATCCAGGAGCCGAGGAAAAACCTCGAGTTGGTGAAGCACCTTCTGCAGTTCTTTTGGCCCGCGGCGGCTACAGCAGACACTGATGTATTTTAGGCATGCAGTGTTTGGGATAGAGGTAGAGAATCTGTATCAACCATAAAACCTGAACATGTGGATAAAGGCAATGAGGAGTGTGCTCTGCAGCTCAGGTAGCGGTATTATTATTCTTGTAGAAAGAGCGTCAGCCTGTGGTGACATTTTGTATTGCTTTAAGAAGGCTTTCCTTGATTATTTACAAGGAGGTGGGTCCTTGCAGTTAACTGTTTCTTCACTGAGGTCATCTGTGCGCACCCTTCTCTGGGATTTTTCTTCACTCTTTACGGAATTAAGGTTCATTTCAAGGCATAGCTACATAAAGCTGTTTTCAGTGTGGTAGAGTGCTCAGGGTACATCACTTTATCTCAATAGGCCTTGGGAAACGCAGCAACTGAATGTGGTTTCAGACTACTCATGAGGCACTATTAAGATTTATTAATTTAAAACCTACAAACTACTTAGTAGCCAATATATATTGCTGTTTCTTTGATTTATTTAATCCAGTAGCAATTTACAATTTAATGGAGTACTACTTGCAGTAAATTGCCTTTCTGGGCTTGGCTCAGGACCATCTACCTTCAGGCACTTGAGCAAGTCATTTAACCTCTTTGGGCTTCAGCTTCCTCAGGCATAAAGTAAAAGAGTGGACTAAGAGTCTAGTCTCTGAGTCTTCTTTGAACTCAGACACTCTTCATGTCTGTTAGCTAAAGTAAAACTCCTATTTGGACAGGCACAGTGATTTTCAAATAGTGTTTTTCTAATGGTATCATTCTGGACAAAATTCATTTAAATTTTGTTACTAGAAAAGAGCCAATGTACCCCAATTGTTAATTTTCTGTCTCCTATTTTAATAAATTCATTATAGTGTTTTATACTTACTCTTCCAAGCCTGACTAATGCTACTAAAAAAAATATGATGGAAGCAAATGGTCTTACATTCTCCTGGGAAAAGCAATTTCAAAAGTGGAAAAGGCCTGTAGGTCTCAGAAAGCCCAGCTGGTGTAACCTATCTCTCCTGCAGAGTCCACAGTGTGATACAAATGCTTGTTGGTGCTAAAGTATTCACATGGCAAGCCTCCTATGAGCACCCAAAAGCTGTTGATACAGTATAGAAGGGAACAGGAAATACTAAAGCATTCCTGCTGAAATTCAAAATATTTTGCAATACTAGACTCAAAACTTTTTCTGACTTTTTAGAAAACTCAAGCTATCTTATCTTTTATAATAGAAATTCAAATGAGAATGCATGTCTACTGTTGACTTATTCGGAAGTGGAAAACCAATAAAAATTCACTTTAATGGTCTTAGGTCTTATCAGAATACTCTTTATAGTGAAGTTACTACTCATGTGTTCAGTTTTTAGCCATGCCATCCAAGAATGTTGCAACCTTAGAGAGTTATTTTTCTGTTTATTTTTATTTTGCATTTGTAAAATTTTCTCTCTGTGTAATGCATGGTTCTGACAGTAGCAAGGCTAGTAATTCCTTTGAGCAGCATTTTGAAAATTTTTAGATATATTAAGACTCTTATTATAATTAAAGAACAACACCCTTTAATTATTCCACATAATGATCACTTTGATAATTTCATTAAGAGCATTGTGAAGTATTTCTTTTCATTCTTTTTTCTTTCTTTTTTCCATCCTCAAATTTCAATGCCATTAAACGTGGAGTTTTGTAAAGCTGAGCACTATCTGAGTTCTTGGCATTAGTTGGTGTATAATAGCAGCATTTTTAAAGTTCGTATTTTAAATGCTTCATAATCATCATGTTTTTTATTCCCAGACACGCCTTGTTCTGTTCTGGCCATTTATTTGGTATAAAACAGCATCAAAGAGTTCTAGCTCCCTAAAGCCATAAACTCAAGTAGACACATGCAATTTATATCCCCAATAAGCAAGAGAGCTACACAGGTGCAGCTATGGTAGAAGAGAATCTCTGTGTATGCACAGAATTTAAATTCAGTTCCTCTCAAAGTGTTAATTTTGTTTTTCATTATTTTTCACAAGGCCTATCTAATTTCTGATACATGTTTGTGACATCTGAAGAATGAACTAATTCATTGGAATATTAAGGAATTTTTCTTGGGAGTAGTGGGAGATAAATTCATATTTATTTAATTACCACCACTGGATTTCAACTCATTTCATTTTCAGTAAAAAATGAGAATATCAGAAAAATGTTATTTATACTTTTAATTATTTTTATTAGAACAGAATTTTCCCTATGGAGAAAAAAATTTTAAAAATAAACATTCTATATTTAAGAAGGGGATGTTATATGCTATTTGACAAGGTTAAAATATTATTCTTATAGTATATGAAGTATCATATTTTTGGAGTTATGAATATTTTCATTCAGCTACTTCTTTGTTTAAATGGCAAAATTCATATTCTTTTTCCCCTTTATCATTGAATGGAATACCGTATATATTTCAGAAAGAACTAGTTCCAAATGTGCTGTGGTGTTCAGTAATGGTTTTATGGTAACCTATTATCATAACCCATTATTGTAGTGTATGTTCCAAGAATGAAATTAGCTTTTAATGTTTCCTCTTATTTATCCAGTCAGTTCTCAATTACCCATTCCATTGAAGGGGAAATCAGAGTTGTGCATATTCCAAAATAGCTCCTAATCAAAGGATTACCTAATCTGACTTTGAGTTCAGTCCTTCATTAACTTGCCTTATCTGATCATCTAAAAACTCATAGTATTTTAACATAATGAAACTAAATTGTGGAAGAATAGATTAATAAGAAATTAGAAAGCTCTCTAACTTTTTCTTTTATTTT